CGTGCGCGACGCCCACGAGCTTGGTCAGCGTGTCCACGACCAGCTTGCACCCCGCCGCCCCGCCCGCCGCTTGTGCGCCAGCCAGGTCCGCGAGTGTCGCCGAAAAGAGCTGCAGCAGCGGCTCCTGGAAGAGCTCGAGGACGTACTTGATCTCCTTGTAGAGCTCGTCGCTCTTGAACTCGTGCCGGTACCGCTGGAAGATCGAGTGCCCGATCTGCAGCAGCGCCGTCCCCTTCTTGAAGTCCTTTGGCGCCACGCCGAGCGCCGCGCCGGTCTGCTGCACGAGTGCGGGGAGCAGCGCCTGCCAGCGCTCGGGGAAGTCGTGCGAGGCGATGATCGAGATGGCCTCGGAGAGCTGCGCCTGGATCGACTCGGGTACCACGAGGAAGAGCGAGAGCAGGTTGTCGCGCACCTGCTGCTTGACGTCTTCGCCGATTGTCACCTCCGAGGCCTCCGCATCCCAGTGCCGCTTGCACATGTTCTTGAAGAAGACCGCGGCGGCCTGCTTGAGGTGCGGCGGCTGGCCGTCGGCGGTGAGCAGGGTGAGCACGCTGGTGGCAGCGGAGGGCGACTTCTTGAACTGCTCCAGCCACGCCTCGGCTGCGAACGGCAGCAGGCGGCGCGTGAGCGCGCGGGGAGGGGGAGAGGGGAGGTGCGCTCGAGCGCGCCCTGTTTGCGCGCATTCGCGTCCGGATTGACCGTCTGCGCGAGGCAGCTGGACAGCTGAGCTGGGTCGGCCATTCTGTCGCGCTTGAGCAGTGTGGCGCGCGGCGCGCTGGAAGAAAATTTACGTCGCCGGGAAGAAAATTCGTTGTGAAGAGCTGGGGCGCGCCACCCAAGAACCTCGGTGTGCGGATCGGCAACGGCGCGACGCGTCGATTGACGATCTATGCTTTTGACCCATCAGCCTCCCAACATGTGATATTAGTCAAAGAACTCGCTTCACGGCGGTCCGCACGTGAGTCCCGCGGCGGCGCGGCGGACGAGAGGCAATGCCTCTCCACACTCCTCGGGAGCACACACACGGACATGAAGCGCGCACGCGGCCCAATGGCCGTGCACGAGCAACAGCGCGAGCGCCGCCAACCGCACCGACACTTTTGACCGCGTGCCGCACTTCCCGAATCCCTTCACACCCCACTGTCGCGCAATGTGCCGGCTCGTGTGCGGCTTCTGCCACGCCCACTCGAAAGCGAGCGCATCGCTCTTCGAGGAGAAGCCACGCACAACGAGCAGAATGCGCCACGGCCGTCCCGCGGCGGGCGCGCCACCTCCCGAGAGCTCGCCGTTGTGCTGGCGCAGTCGTCGGACGGGGTCGGGACTCGCGCCGACGTAAGTCCTCCGACCGCTCTCGTCTCGCAGGAAGTAGACGCGCCACGCCGATTCCTACTCCTCCTCCTCCTCCTCCTCAGCCTCGTCGTCGACGAGCGCGTTGCCGTCCCGCTCGTCCTCCTCGTCGCTGTCTCCGTCCTCCGCGTCGAGATCCACCTCGGTGACAGTCGGCGAGGGTGCCAGTCGAGGCGGTTTGGGAGGCGATGGGAACCACCCAGAGGCTGTCTTGGTGATGCTCTTCGGGCCGTGCGGGCCGGGGAAGAGGAGGTCCGAGTACTCGACGTTGTCGAAGTGGGTCTTGACGTAGTCCTTGACGTCGTGACGTGCGAGGGCGGGAGCAGGCCCTTCTTCTTCGTCTCAAACTGCGTGGACGACCTGGCGAGCGTGAACTCGAGTGGCTTGACGGCTGGGTTGTCCATGGGCGAGACGTCGAGGTAGGGGTTGAGCCGCTTTGCTCAATGAGAGCCAGCAATGCGGGCGCCACGCTCAATGAGCCTTCTCGGTTTACCGAGGCCGTGCTCTTCGAGCCGCACGGCGTGGAAGTCGTGCGAGGGCTATGTGTACGGCGACCGTCACTCTGCATCGCCCGCCACCGCAGCTCCTCCGCCCTCTCTGCCTTTGCCACTCTCGCATCGTAGTCGTCGCCATCCGGCCGAACCCACACGCCTCGCAGGTAGTCCCAGTCGCATGGAACGCCAGAGACGGTCGGGGCTCTGGCTCGGGGCCTGGGAGTGCCGCCGGCAGCACGCACAGCGTTCAATGCTTGGCGCCGCTCCGTCCGTGCCGACGACATTATGAAGGAGGCAGGTGGCCAATAGCGCCATCGTTACGAAATGTAGCCTTTCCGGGAGGTCTGCAAGCTGTCTTGGGTGGTAAGGCGCGTGCAGGGTGGACCCCGTCCTCCCCCCATCCCTCGTTTGGGTTTGGTCTTCGTTCTTTCTTTCTTTCGAAATCTTCACGGACCGCGTTGGTGTCCAGTCCGAGCCTGACTGTTGTTCATCTTTCTACATACATACATTCACGGGCGAGAAACTGAGCTTGGCCCCGCTCGACAGAAGACTACTCGAGTATCACCCCCGGGGGTGATCAATCAAGCGCGCTGAAGCGTGAAGGGGTGATCGGGGTGTTCATAGGGGTGACGGTGATCATGTCGAGTTTGGCGGGAAGCCGTCGCGGCCCGCCCGGCGCTGCTTGCAGCACCATGGCGATGGCGCTAAGTAAGAGGTTCCTCTTTTTCCGCGTGAGGTGCGAGGGTGCGGTTTCACAAGTGCAATGCCTGACTTATGGCGGCCAATGATCGTCCCGCCGGCTGGTTCATGCCTGTGGAGTCTGAGGCGTGACGTCCATTTCGATGACAAAATCATCGGCTCCAAGGTTGAAGCCGGGGACTGCCGCAAAGGGTCCGGTGGTAGCCTCCTGTCTGCTGGAACAATGGTGACGCGGACGGCGGAGAGCACTCCTTGAACCGGCAGCTCCAGTCATTGTGCCCGTCCGGCTCACGGTCCTGCACCGAACTGTCGGAGTCGCTCGGGTAGATGTTGGTTGTTGCCTGTCGAGTCCCATTGATGCACGACCGTGCCGAAACCGCAGTAGGCTTAGGTGCCCGATCTGGTATGCCTTTGTGCCTTTGAGGGCTCGCGGGCCTCTCGGCACCCCCTTGTCGGCCCTTGGCTTGCGTGGTTTCGGGGCGTCTCCTCGTTGCTGCCCCTCTCTACGCCGCTCGTCTCGTGCGCCGATGAGCTCTCGCGCCATGGCTGCGAGGCTGTCCCCGTGGCACAGCCTCCCCTCTCGACACGAGGGCGAGCATCCGAGCCGCACCACCTTGGCGTTGCCGCGGCCGTTCAGCGCAGCCCGCATCGCCGCGACGGCGTTCTTCCCCGTCCTAGCTTCGTCAGAGCGTCGAGGGGCGATCTCCTGCGAGAAGGGCCGCCCGTTGCGGTTGGCCTGTCTGATGAGCGCTGGCGTGGATCTAGTGTCCCGCACGGCTGAGGCGGGAACAGTGCGCAGTCGGAGCCACGTGTCGAATGCCTCGCATACCTGGTCGCGCAGCGCCTCGTCGGTGCCTCTCTTCCCCATGGGGAATGGGTTGCCGAGCCCGGTGCCTCTCATGATGTTGACTGGCAAGGGGCGCGGGACTATGTCCACTCCCGTGTCGCGCGTCTCCGCTCGTCGGCTTCCAGCATCCAGCAGTAGTTTGAATACCGCGCCGCTGAAGAGAGGTGCACGCGATCAAACTCTCCGCTCTCGAGCACCTCTGCCGGCGGACCCTCCTTGATCATCTTTCGCCAGGACGGGTTCGGGTACCACATCGAGCGCAGCGCGTCCTTGAGCCGACGGCGAGAGAGATGCCACGAGGGGTCGCGGTGGCGTCCATCGCCAGGCTCCCCTAGCTCAACCGACGACCCTCGTGCCTCGGGATCGACGGCCGATCGTCATGCGCTCACACGGAAGCAGCGTGGGCTCCCGAACCAGCCGAGGACGAGCACACGCTTGGCGGACAGTGCTGGCGCGGCGACGACCATTGCGGGAAGAGGCGCTTGCTCCTCGAGGCATGAACACCGTGACCCATGACCACCGACAATGCAGTAAACTCAGAGGGGGGGGGGGGGGGTCCCTCACACCCTTGCCGTGCCAGCTGCATCTCGCGAAGAACCAGAGACTGGCGGGGAGGCTGCGGAGGAGGGGGGAGGGGTGACCGGGGGTCAGGCGGTGGGGAGAAGCGCCTCCGGGCGACGCAGCCACTTCCAACCTGTCCAGACCGAGCTTGCCAAAGGCCCAGAGCAGCGCCAGCTGTGAGTACAAGCCAACCTATGGTGGGGTAAGGGCCAGGCTAACCCTCGAGACTCCACGTTTAGGTACAGGAGCCGGCACGGCACTCAAAGTGCAAGGCGTGCGTGTGCGCGCGCGTGTGTGTGCCGACCTGCGACTCGACGCACCCTGTGTTGAGCGTGTCGATGACGGCGCGGTCGGGGTAGGTTTGCTGGTGGTGGTGCTTGTGCACCCACTTGTAGAGGACGGGCACCTGGGCACGGGGCAGCCGGGCGAAGAGTGCCGGCGGAGGGGGGCAGGCGGCGGGAGCGAGGGAGGGGGGGGGGGGGCCTCGTGCATCCTCCGGTGCCACCAGTAGTAGACGAACTCGTACGTGATGAAGTAGAGCGGCAGGTACATGGCCAGCTCAGGCAGCTGCGCAGAGGAGGCGAGCTCGTGTGGCAGTGGCGAGGGCAAACAGCAACAAGCGAACGACATGCGAGCCACACAAGACACGACGTGTCGTAGGGAACGGCCCTCCCTTGGCGCGGCAAACCCGAGATTACCCGAGATTACCCGAGATTACCCGAGATTACCCGAGATGACAACCGAGATGGCCCTCCCTTGGCGCGGCACACACCGTCTCTGTGAGGAGAAGGAGCGGCTTCTCGGGGTAGATGCCGCAGGCCGGCGCGTCAAAGTCGAGCCTGGCGGTACTCTCGGGTGTAATCTCGGGCAATCTGGTGTGTAATCTCGGTCTCGGCCACTCACGGCAAATTCTAGCCTGGCGGCTCGCTTGGCGAGTCAAGAGGTGCGGGGACTTAATGGTGGGCGTGCGAGTGTGCGTGGCACCCCCAGCTGCGCAGGAGCGTGACGAAGTGGTAGAAGAGGCCGGGCAGGCAGAGCGAGTTGAGAGCAATGTACGAGAGGTCGACCGCGGTGAGGGCGTGCTGCGGCATGAGCCGCTTGGTGGTGCGATAGGGGACCTGGATTGGAGGGCGAGGGCGAGGGTGGGTGAGGGTGAGGGTGAGGGTGAGGGCGACCGCTGGAGTTCGGCACCTTCAACGGCTCGCTCGCGCCCTCGGCGTCCGCCTTAGACTGCGCCTATTGTTTGCGGCGGGAGGTGCGCGTCGTGCCATGGGATGGGAGGAGAGTCGAGGGCCGAGAGAGGGGCGGGCACCGCGGGCACGATTCCAGGCATGGCGAAGCTAACTCCAACGCTCATGGCGTACAGGTATGCCCAGAGCAGAGCGACCTGCAGGTCCGGTTGCGGGAGCGGCCCAACGCCCACGTCTTGCAGGCGCTGGGAGAGGTAGGCCGCATCCGCGCCAGCCTGTGTCCAATCGGTAAAGTGGTGCTGCAGCAGCAGCGTCAAACCGCCTGCCGCCCACGAGAGTGCGATCGGCCCAGCCTCCAAGTGGGAGGGCGTGCTCCTGGCGGGCCTCGAGCGCTTGTGCTCTCGGCTGGCCTCGGGCTCGACTGGTGTGCTCACGACCGGCACCGGATCCGCAGTAGTCATGTGCGAACGGCAGCGCGCCGTCGGGGCCGCACGGCTGCAGCTCACATGGACCACCGGTAAGCTCTGGGAGCACAAGCGAGTGGCGGCGCGCTGCCCACGCACAAACCCAAAAGTTGGCGGTGCTAGGATGAGGCCCGTTGCGAAACGCTGGAGCGCAAACAACAGCACGATGGAGCATAGCACCATCGGAGCTAATGAAACCCACGGTCGTGAGAGCTCAGTGAGACTGTGAGTGGCATGGCGGGCTGCGCTCTCCTCTGCGTGCTGGCCGTCTTTGCCATGCAGGCGCTCGCCGTGCAGGCGATCTCGCCGAGCGTGGGCAGTTCGGCGAAGCACCCAAAGCCGATTCGAAGGGCCCTTCGGGTGCGCCGGGCGTCGTCTCGGCCAGTGTGCTGCGGCCGCCACTCAGGCATGCGGATGTGCGCTGACGTCGAAGGCGCGCTCGCGGTCGAGCGGGTCTACGTCCGACTGGACGGTGTGGCGGCGGCCGAATTGGCCAACGCGGCCGCGGCTGCTGGCGAGCAGCAGCTTTGGCCCGCGCAAGCATGGGAGGCTGGCGCCGGCGCTGCGATGTTGGTCATCTCTCCCGCGAGGCGCGTCGTCGTGCTGAACGACTCCTCGCCCGCCGCTGCCGCCGGCCTCCGGCTCCTCGACGTTCTGGTTGCGGTCGACGGCGAGCGTACTCCCTCTCTCTCCAAAGCGCGCTCTCTCTCTGCCGCCGGTGCTGGTGCCTGCCAACGGCAGCCGCGACATCATGTTCACTTGCACATAGGCTGCCCACCTGCTCGCCCGAGGCTCGCCTCCGAAGCTGGTGTGCGTGCTCCGGCCGGTGGAGCGGGCGAGTGAGCAGCCGCCACCGCGAGGCCCTGCCGCCGAGGCAGAGGACCTCCAACGTCTCTCGGATCGTGTCTGGAAGCTCGCCCACCTCGGGGCAGCCGCCCTCCCCGCTGCCCCTCTCGGCGAGGGGGAGACGGACCCGGAGCTGCGGCGGGTCGCGAAGATGGCAGATTGGGCAAAAGAGGCCGATTTCGCGGTCGTCAAGCGCGGCGCTGCTGCTGGCATCGTCGTCGTGATCCAAGTCCTCGTCTGGGCCGCTGTTTTTTTGGCCGCCTGAGCCTTCAACACCTAGTAGTGATCGTCACGTAGCATCCGTACGCAATGCGAGGGTAGAGGACAACGTGTGTCTCTTGCCCGTCGAGTCGCCAGGCGTCTCCGTTCGGGAGAATGCCTCGGTTTCTTGGAGCACTTGGAGTTCGTGGAGCACTTTGACTTTCTTTTGTAGTGCAACTCTCTCTGTCTGTGCAAATTTCTCTCTCATTTATCAACATCGAAGGCTTGCTCAAAAGGGTGCATACACATGAGAAAATTGGGCACCGAGTCGAGCACACATGAGAATGTTGATTGCGTTTCGTTCGGCTTGGCTTCGACTCGTTGGCCCAACATCTTCATGCCGGGGCACCCTTTGCTCTTCTGTGCGCTTCCGCTCACCTTTGCGGTGCAATACGTGGTGTGCGCGTTCATTCTTTCACCGCCAGTCCCTTCGCGAGTCTGCCTTTGCGCTGGAGGCGAGGTTCCACCGCAGCGCTGCGCCTCGACGTGCTCACGCCGCTTGCCGTCAGATGGAGCTTGCGGGCGGCCAGGGTGGAATGCTTGGAATCAGCGCGGGCAGGCTGGTGATGTTGAAGACGCGCACCCAGGGAGGGACGGGGGCGAGGCGAACTGCGTCGGATCGCGCACTGGCTGGTGGTGGAGACGCCCACCCCCGACGCTGGCTCTCGTCTGCTTGCTCGCCGCCTGCCTAGTCATCAGCCTCGCCATACGCGCGGAGGACAGGGAGGCGTTCAATGGGCACGCGGCTGAGGCGCTCTGGACCGCATTCATTCAGGTCCAGGTCGTCGTACAAGGGCAAACGCACCTCTTCGATGTCAGCGCTCAGACAAGCGGTCTCGAGCTGAGACGCTTGTGTACAAAACGCTCCTCGATCCCCGCTGGTGCGCTTGGCGGCCTCTACCATCAGTCGCGGCTATTGGAAGACGACGCCCCGCTGGCATCCTACGGTGTGCGCGCAGGAAGCACCATCGAAGTCAAAGCACGGTTGCGCGGCGGCGCGCCCGGCCCACCGGCCACCTCCCGGTACGCCTCCCCGAACCGGGCGGAAGAGGGTCACTTCCTCCACACCTTTCCGGTCGACGTCTTGCCGACCATCATTGACCCCGTCACCCAAGTGCCGATTCTGGACTCAATCTCAATTTCCATCCGACATGCCAATGCGGGACGCCCCGCGCAGGCTCAGGCGCAGGCGCAGGCGCAGGCTACACTTGACGAGGCGGAGGCGGCGGAGCGGGAGCACGAACGCAACCGCCTTGCGTTGGACATCAGTGCCACTGAGCGCGCGGCCTTGATCCGGGCGCGGCTGGCAGCCCGCCACTCGCCCGAACACAAGCTCCCTCTGGCAAAAGACCCGGCAGGCACCGCCCTGCCTGAGGACTCCGGCCCGCCAGCGGAGGAGCACGTCGCTCCTCCTCGTGCACCCCCACAACCGAACATCGTCCTCGGCGCCAACGACGGGAGGATGTACTCTGAGGAGCTCCGCATCGCGCATGAGATTGCCCGCACCCGCTGCCGGCTGCGCGACGCGGGGCTCTGACGCACCGAACCCGCGCTGTGGACGGGGCGGTGGGACGCAATCGTTCGGGTGTGCGGGGTGCCATGGCCCAAGGCATGGCACTGCACCGCTTCGTCCCCTCCCACCGCAGAGCCATTGTACAGAGGGAGGCATATTGTACAGCCATTGTATAGAGGGGTGGGAGAAGGACTCCCTTGTCTAGTGTTGTGAGATAGTTGTCGCAAAATTCTCGAGCCTGTCTGCTGTAGTTGAAAATACTTCTTTTACAGCCGCCGTGTGGGCGCGCAAACGCACATGAACATGAACATGAGTGGTCTGCACCTCACCATCCCTCTCGCCAGCCTCGCCCTGTGTACCTTCCTGTCGGGCGTCCTAGCGGGCCGGCCATGGCTCGTGGCCTCGCGTGAGCGCACCTTGCGCGTCATCGTGCCGGCGTGCATGCTCGCAGCTACGGCCATTGCGCACGCAAGCGTCGGCGAAGTGTGCTCTGTCGCGACCCACGCGGGCGCGACGGGTGCCGAGCGAGGGTTCGACGGGACGTCGACCCCGGCAGCAATCTTCGGCGCCCTCTTCATTCAGGGCGTGGTGCAGGTGTTCACCGCACAGAGCGAGCAGGCGAAGCAGTCGATGGCGATGGTCACAGTTTGGCTGGTGACGTGCCTCTTCTACCTGCGGCAGTGGCTCGCGCCGCCGTGCGCGCTGGCGGTGCGCTGGGAGCACGGCGGGGGCCTCGTGCCGACGCAGTACGCCCTGTGGAGTACGTCCATGAGTGGCCAGGTCGCCACCCCGCACGGGCTATCTCGGGCAATCTCGGGCAATCTCGGGTAGTCTCTCGGGCAATCTCGGGCAATCTCGGGTAGTCTCTCGGGCAGTCTCGGGTAGTCTCTCGGGCAGTCTCGGGTAGTCTCGGATGATCTCGCGCGCTGAACGGTCAGGTCGTCACCCTGCACGCGCTCGAGAGGCGCGAGGCAGCAAAGAGGTCGCCGGCCAGCGCCGCTGAGGCCGGCACATCGCCCGGCGTCGCGGGCGGCGCACAGCGTCAGTGCTGTGCCGCGCTGCTCTGTGTGCAGAGCATGCTCTGGTGCGGCGCCACGGCGGACGCGCTGCTCTCTGCGCCCCTCGCGCTCACTGCGTCTCTGCTCGCCGCTTCGTTTGCTAGCTTCTACCTGCTGCTGCACTGTGGCGCGCACGCCGCACGACGCGGAGTGCGCAAGTGCACGGCACCCTCCTCACGCCCCCCCCCCCCCACCCACCCACGCCCAGGCATACGCGCGCCGCTCGCCGCCTGCCGCCGCCACGCCGCCGACACCGCCACGGGGAAGCGGCTGCGGGGCGTGCAGACGTATCTGCTCACGACATGGCACGCGTTTCCGCTCGTCTGGCTCCTCGACAACAGCGGCGCCCTCGGCGCCTCGCTCACGCGTGACGCCTACCTCGCCTCGGATGTGGCTGCGAAGCTGCTGCCAATCTCTCTCTACCTCGCCGTCGCGAGTCGATAGAGCGTCCGAGACTTCCGAGAGCCGCGACGCCCCGCCGCGAAGCGCGATCGTGCGTGCGCTGGCTCCCAGGAGAGAGCAGCGCCGCAGTGCGCCGCAGCACAGCGTCGGATTAGACTCTCGTACACGAATGACAACTCAAAAAAGAAAAACACGGGCATCGGTGACGCTCTTCGCGCCCTCCCCCCCCCCCCCTCTGACGGTCCTGACCAGCCCAGGCCCAGCCTCTCTCTCCTCTAACTATTGCCATATATATTGATATTGATCGCCTCTCTAACTATTGGAGCAATATATTCAATATTTATCGTCGTCCTTATGACGAGATCGCGAAGGATCTCGGCGGCGCGCAATGATATGCTTGGTTTGAGAGATGGGCCCAGGTAGGAGGCTCCACGCCACCTGACTCGCGTCGTGCCACCTGACTCTCGCCTGGAGAGGCCTCTTAGCCGAGGCACACGTGGCAATCGCCACGTGCGCCAACAGGGATTTCGGCCATTTTAGAGCCTTTTGCACAAAAATGCAGGTGGCTTCAGCCACTTGCTCCATGAGCAAAACAGTGCAAAAAGCACCTGGAGCAGATGGCTTACGCCGCCTGTGGACATGGGCAAAACAGTGCAAAAAGCACCTGGAGCAGATGGCTTACGCCGCCTGTGGACATGGGCAAAACAGTGCAAAAAGCACCTGGAGCAGACGGCTTACGCCGCCTGTGGCCATGGGCAAAACAGTGCAAAAAGCACCTGGAGTAGATTCCAAACGCCGCCTGTGGCCATGTGAAGCGCTCGGGTGGCGCCAAGGGCTTCGGCCCCCTCCAAGCCACCTGCCCCGCCCCCCTCGCCACACGTGGAGGGCTGGAGCACGTGCGCCACCTGGGCCTGGGCAGGTGGCAACAGGTGGCTTCAGCCCCCTCCAAGCCACCTGCCCCCCCTCCCTCGCCACACGAGGAGGGCTGGAGCACGTGCGCCACCTGGGCCTGGGCAGGTGGCTCCAGGTGGCTTCGGCCCCTCCAAGCCACCTGCCCCGCCCCCCTCGCCACACGTGGAGGGCTGGAGCACGTGCGCCACCTGGGCCTGATGGGTGGGCAGGTGGCGCCAGGTGGCTTCGGCCCCTCCAAGCCACCTGCATGCCCCCCCTCGCCACACCTGGAGGGCCGGAGCACGTGCGCCACCTGGCGCAAGTTTGAATTCGGAAACGGAAAATCCGAGCCACGGAAGGGCTGGCCTGCCAAACGCGAGCCTCCCCGCTCCTCCCCGCGCTGCAAACTGGGACTGTGGGGTGTGTGAAAGAGGGCCTGCGGCGGTCATCGGCGGCTACAATCAATGTCCGGCGTCGACATAAGCCTGGGGCTTCAACCCGGCCCGCGCGGGCGTTTGGTGTGGCTGCAAACGCCGCAGGAGCCGGTGGCTGCGCTGCTCACGCGCCGTTGCTGCCGACGCTGAGCAGTCTGACTCGCCAATGAGAAGACTGCCCGATAATACGCCATCACTCGATCCCCGATAAACCAGGCCATGCAGAGCTTTGTCGGCCTCGCCGACGTCGTGTGCTGGCTGCGCGGTAGAGTTGCGAGAGTGGATTGTGGAGGCGCGGCGGGGGCGGCTCGTGGTGCCGAGGCGGTGTATAGTACATTCCTATTCAAAAGAACACGCACGATGAAATTCCCGAAGTGACGCCCAGGTGGCGCACGTGCTCCAGCCCTCCAGGTGTGGCGAGGGGGGGCATGCAGGTGGCTTAGAGGGGCCGAAGCCACCTGGAGCCACCTGCCCGGGCCCAGGTGGCGCACGTGCTCCAGCCCTCCAGGCAGGTGTGGCGAGGGGGGCAGGTGGCTTGGAGGGGGGCGAAGCCACCTGGCGCCACCCGAGCGGTCACATGGCCACAGGCGGCGTTTGGAATCTACTCCAGGTGCTTTTTGCACTGTTTTGCCCATGGCCACAGGCGGCGTAAGCCATCTGCTCCAGGTGCTTTTTGCACTGTTTTGCCCATGTCCACAGGCGGCGTAAGCCATCTGCTCCAGGTGCTTTTTGCACTGTTTTGTCCATGTCCACAGGCGGCGTAAGCCATCTGCTCCAGGTGCTTTTTGGACTGTTTTGCTCATGGAGCAAGTGGCTAAAGCCACCTGCATTTTGTGCAAAAACCTGCAAAGGACTCGTGGAGGCACGTGGCGCTTTCCGCGTGTGTCTCGTGCAAAATCCGGCATTTTGTGGCTTTCAGGTGGCACGACGCGATTCAGGTGGCGTGGAGCCTCCTACCTGGGCCCATCTATGCTTGGTTTTCTTGAATGACTCTTCTCACAGGCACAGGCCTCAGGCGCGCGCGCCGCGCGCCGCGCGCGCGTGCTAGCACTAACACACAGAGGTAGCCCTGAGAGGCAGCCGAAAGAGAGAAAGAAAGCAGGCAGGTGGGTAACGGGGCACAATGAGGAGGGGGAAAGGGTCCCGGAGGGAGGGCCATGAGCGAGGCTCGACTTAACGAGAATAAGAGAGAGAGGCAGCGCAACGCCCCGGCGCCCCACGCACCGCGCGACCCGCAGGGGCGACGTGGAGAACGGCACAGACCGCCAGTCGTCATCACTTCAGCGATCGGAGCAGGGCCTTGGAAGAAGAAGTCAGGACGCTAGTCAAGACGGTAAATCGTTTTCGCACGCTGTCATTCAGAGAGAGATTTGTCATTCAGCGCCGCGCTCCACGCGTCCAGCAATGCATAGTCAGGACAAGTGATGCCACAAGCGGACTGGCGTCGTGGACGTGTAAAAACATTTTTGTGTGCGTATTTTATTAAACTTCTTTTCTGGGCTAACGAACCCCTGCCACATTGTGAAGTGGGCAGAAAGAAGGTGTGAACAGACAGGCGGATCGAGTGTGAAGAGACGCCATGTCATCGGACCCCAAACCCGTCGGCGGCCAGTGGCACAAGGCCGCGCGCGGGGAGTTGTCCCCCCCCAAGGGCGCGAGCGAGGAGACGCTCGTGCCTCAGCTGTTCACGGCATCAGTGCCGGACCCGCGTACCGTGCAGCCGGGACCGCAGCTCACCTCTTCCGACTATCCGGGGCCGGCTCTGACCTTTGACCTACCTTGATTGAGTGCCCCGGCCGAAGTTAAGAAACCACGGCGTGGGGTGGGTGAGGGGTGTGGAAAGGCTTAGAAACGGCGGCGTGCCCAAATCCTGTTTTTTTATGCCCGCAACCCACTGTAGGGGTCAGCAACCACGTCGAAGTCCAGCAAACGACGGCACCTGCGCAAACTCGGGCTGGCGGCGACGCCACCTGCGCCGCCGCCCGAGGCGTCGGTTCCTGCCACCGCGTCCGCCTCTGCCGCCGACAAGCCGAGCCGGACCATTCGCCGGCGAGCGCTCAAGCAGCGGGCTGCGCAGGCGAAGCGGGCGGCGGCGGAGAAGCCCAAGCCCAAGCCCAAGCCGAGGCGGGCCGAGTCCAGCCGGTCGGGCAGCCTCCCCGTGCTTCACGAGGACCAGCACGTCATCGCCGTCGACAAGCCCGCGGGAATGCTGAGCCACGCGTCGGAGGGCGACTCGAGCGCGAGCCTCGTCGATGCCCTCGCCGGCCGGCAGGTCGTCGCTGGCCACTCGCCTCTCTCGGAGGAGATGCTGATGCCGCGACTCGCGCCGACCGGCGAGCCCGACTCGCACATCCCGCGCTGCGTCGTCCACCGGCTTGACCGAGGCACGTCCGGCGCGCTGCTGCTCGCAAAGACGCCGCAGGCCGAGGCCGCCCTGGGCGCGGCCTTCCGCTCCCGCACCACGGCCAAGCGGTACATCGCCCTCCTCTCCGGCCGCCCGAACCCGCCTCGGCCGGTCGGCGGAGCGTCTGCGCGGGAGAGGCCGGAGGCGGAGGGAGGAGGGATCGCAGTCGAGGCGCCGCTCGGGCGCGACGCGGCGAGGCCGGGTCGCTCTGTGGTGGACGCGGCTGGCGGCAAGCCCGCGTCGTCCGTCTTTCGACTGCACGCCTACTGCGCGGAGCGGCGAGTCGCCCTCGTCTCCGTCGACCTCCTCACAGGCGGCCCTCCCCCTTCCCCCGCGCACGCACCCTCCCTCTCCCTCCGCCGCCTCCGCCGGCAGCAGCGCGCGCCCTCGGCCCCGCAGGGCGGCTGCACCAGATCCGGGCGCACGCAGCCTTCCTAGCGGCGCCCGTCGCCGCCGACGATGCGTACGACGAGGCGGGCGGGCCAGCCTTCCGCGCAAGCCTGGGCGTGCTCGCCGGAGTCCGGCGCGGCCGGCCGCTGCTGCACGCGTGGTCGATGAGCGTCCCACACCCCGCGCCCGCTGCGCCGCCGCTGCAGGTGCGCGCCCCGCTGCCGCCAGACATGGCGGCGCTGGTCGAGAGGCTCTGGCCGGAGCTCGGGCTCGACCCGGCGGCGTGGCCGCAGCTGTCGCTGTCGCAGCTTGAGACTTTGGAGGCTCGTGCCATGTGAATGCGGAAAACCGGAATGCTGTCGTGTGTCGACGGGGGCAGAGACGCTTGGAGAGACTACCTCCTGTTCTAAAACAAACCAGAGCAAAATAAAAACCTCGGGCGCCGCGAACCCCCGCGAGCGCCACTGAGACCACACACTCCCCAAGGCGTCGAGACACACATATTAGTTATTATTAATACACTGTATATACCACCTTCTTACGTGTATATACAGCAGACGCACACGCACCGCATGAAGATGATGTGTCTTGACTCAGACTCAGTCGACCGCCTCCGGCTTGACCTCCTGCTTGACTGCGGTCGGCTCGCTGGGCGGCGCGTCCTCGCCGGGCAGCTCCTCCCCGCCCGCCTCGCAGTGGCGCAGCGTCTCGCGGAGCGTCTTGACGTCGTTCTTGTAAACCTTTCCGTGCTTCACCAGGAGCACGTGCAGCGCGTACTTGATCTCGTCCGGCACCTTCGCGTTGAGGTGCTCGTACGTCTGATCGCGCGTCGCGGCCTTTGGCACCCAGTTCAGCGCGAGCGCGATCTTCCACACGTGGGTGTCGACGGGGAAGTCGAACCGCTTGAGGCAAAACATGAGGACGCAGGAGATGGTCTTCGCGCCGACGCCCTTGTACGAGCCGAGCACGCGCTTCACCGCCTCGTCGGACGCCTCGCGCAGGTGCTCGAGCGAGCACTCCCCTCGCTCGTCATGCAGGAGCTGGAGGATGGCCTGCACCCGCGCAGTCTTTGTCTCGGCGAGGCCGCAGCTCTTGATCACCGCCTCGATGGCCGCCGGCGGGGACGTGCGGACCATCTCCCACGTCGGGAAGGCCTGCTTGAGGGCGGCGAAGCTGCGGTGCGACTGGACGTCCGTCGTGTTCTGCGACAGGATCGTACCGACGAGGGCGTCGAGCACGAGGTGTCGCG